TTGACATGAGCTGTGAGCTCTTTATTGTGGAAAACTATTATTGATGATTTATTTTGGCATGAGCCGTGAGCTCTTTATTGTGGAAAAATATTGTTGTTGAATTATTTTGGCAAGTTAAATTATTTGAGCACTTGAGGTGCAAATTGTGATATATTGTGATATTGATACGCATGCGGTGGTATAAGGTCTGGGTGTTGAAACGCATGCGGTGAGATAAGGGTGGCTTGATACGCGTGGCTAGTAGGGGAACTACTAGAAGTCATGCGGTGTGATAAGGGTGGCTAAAACGCGGGATGCTATTTCGGGAAAAATATTTTCTTTAAATAAATTGTGAAGGCTCCCGCGGTGATATAAGGAAATGAGATATTGTGAATTTATTTATGATTTGGGACTACGAGGCGGTACCTCGGGAGTGCCCTTGTTGATATTGATTTATGGCCGTAGTTGCCTTTGATTATTATTGTGATTTTCATAAAGTTGAAGGAAATTCTGTTTTGATTTCCACGAGATATTATTTGCAATTATTTGGTGTCATTAAATGTGACATACTATTTGATTCATTTTCAATGTCATTTTATTTTACTACATTGATAAACATTTTACCATGCCATTATTATATTCCAGTAGGGCCTCACCTGACCTCGTCACTACTCTACCGAGGTTAGGCTTGGCACTTACTGGGTACCGCTGTGGTGTACTCATACTACGCTTCTGCACATCTTTTTGTGCAGATCCAGGTACATTTTACCAGCCTAGACGTCATTGAGTTACCTGCGCACGGAGACTTCCAGGTATATCTGCCAGCGTCCGCAGACTCCGGAGTCCCCTTCTATCATTTTATGTTGCTTCCTTATATTTTATCTAGACCTTGACATATAGAGACATTAAGAATAAATTCTTAGAAACTTGTGACTTATTTCTACCGGATTTTGGGAGTTGAAATTATTTGAATTGTTGTTTAATTATTTCAGATATTTATTATTATTTCGCATTGATAGGCTTACCTAGTCTTAGAGACTAGGTGCCATCACGACATCCTACGGAGGGAATTTGGGGTCGTGACAATAATGATACGTTATATTTAATTTTAAATTATCAAAATACCATTTCAAATTCGAAAAGATATAAGAAATCTTGACATATGAATATGGAAGAACAAAGAGATGATTGACGTATTTCAATAACACTTAGATAAGAAAGTGATACAACCCATTATTCAAAGTAAATAAAAAAAATGCACTTCATAGTTCTATTAAATATACCTCTTAGGATCCCAAAAATTTCTATATTTTTTAAAGAAAATTCAATATAAAGTCTTAGAAGTATATATAAAAATTATATATTTATATGTCGGTTTGGTTTGAATTTTTTTACTCAATACCAAACCCAATCAGGTTTTTTAATCGGTTTGGTTTGACTTTTCGATTTGGTGTCGTTTTTCGGTTCGGTTTGAACACCCCTAATCTGAGGCCAATCAAGCAATGCCAATTGCTCAATGATGTGGTATCCAAGTGTCACAACCCAAAATCCTAACATGTCGTGATGGCGCCTATCTCAATACTAGGCAAGCCGACAACCTCAATAAACTGCAATTTCCATTAAGTTTGAATAATAATATTGAATTTCATAGAAAATATCACAATTTTTGACATAAAAATACATTCCCAAAATCCGGTGTCACTGAGTACATGAGCATCTAAATGATAACCAGACTGACTGATAAAAACACTTTCTGAAAAATGTAGAACAGTACAACAACTGAAAGAAGAGAGTCAAGGTCTGCGGACGCCAAGAAGCTACCTCGATAGTCTCCACAGATAAAGCTCCGAATAACTAGCAATCGCCGTGTTCGGAGGTACCTGGATCTGCACAAGAGGTGCAGGGTATAGTATGAGTACAACACACTCAGCAAGTAACAATACCAAATAAAAAACTGAAAGTAGTGACGAGCTTCACAGCTGAGTCCAATTACAGTAATTTTTAATATAATAAGGTAGGCATGCTTTCAAGTTCAACATTTAACACTCAACAGTAATTTCATATCAAGTTCAACTGAAGAAAAAAAAGAAAATATCTTTCAAAAATTTCCAACACCGTAATATATGACAACTATAGTGCAATAAGAATGAAATCAAATGCATCCTCTCAGAACCACAGTCACTAAGCCGTTTCATTCACTCAACACTCAGTAGGTACCTGCGCTCATTGGGGGTGTGTACAGACTCCGGAGGGGCTCCTACAGCCCAAGCGCTATAATCCGTACGGACAACTCGCGTGCTATAGTATAATATCTGGATCCACACGAACAACTCACGTGCTGCACGGACAACTCACGTGCTATAGTATAATATATGAATCCGCACGGACAACTCACGTGCTATAATATAATATCTCACAATCAGGCCCTCGATCTCACTCAGTCATAAATCTCTCCAGTCTCTCGGGCTCTCAATAATCACGAAAAATCAGTCCAAACAACAATAATATGATGCATCAATAAGGAACAATAGAGAGTGAGATAAAATAAACAAGTAAACTGTGACTAAGTACAAAATAATAATTAAGCAGATAGTTCAACAGGTACACGACTTATGTGGATCCCTATAGTGCCAACACATAATCTAAACATGATTTGTGGTTCAATTTTTCTACTACATAGAGAATGTACAGATAACAACAGGTTATTCAACTACACAGTTCCATGGAATTTTACCAAGTCACAATTCCTACGGTGCACGCCCACATGCCTGTCACCTAGCATGTGCGTCACTTGCCACGAGAATTGTCCTCCAAACTCCTCGAATCTAGCCACAAATAATTCGATTCAGTCAACAAAATTTATTGGAATTAATTCCATAAGAAAATATTAATTTTCCATCAAAATTAGAAATTTAGCTCAAAAATCGCTTGTGGGGCCCATATCTCGAAACCCGACAAAAGTTACAAAATCCAAAAGCCCATTCAACCATGAGTCTAACCATACTAATTTTACTTAATTCCGACATCAACTCGACCCTCAAATCTTCAAATTAAACCAAGAGGGTTTTCTAATCTTTCCAACTTAATTCACCCATTAAATGTTAAAAACAACCATGGATTCGGGTAATTTGACCGATAATGAGTTAAGAACACTTACCCCGTTATTTTTCCTGAAAATCTCCCAAAAATTGCCTCTTCCCGAGCTCCAATCCGTCAAAAAATCTCATTTTCAGAACTTAAACTTTCTGTCCATACCTCTCTTCTTCGCGAACGCGACAGGTCCCTCGCGTTCACGAAGAACAAAATCGTGCTGCCCAACATTGCTCTTCGCGAACGTGAGACAATGCTCGCGAACGCGATGCTTTACCGAGCTCTTCTTCGCGAACGCGATGAACAACCTCGCCTGACTCCAGCTCCTCTTCGCGAACACGAGACCCCCGCGAACGCGAAGGAAAAATCTTGCCTGCCTCAAATTTCCCCTCGCGAACGCTAAGAAGGAAACCAGAAAAATACACTAGTAGTCTTCAGCCAACATGCTAAGTCTAAAATCGACATGATAACCTCCCGAAACTCACTCGAGTCCCCCGGGAGCTCAACCAAACATACCATCAAGTCCCAAAACATCATACGAACTTAGTCGAACCCTCAAATCACCTCAAACAATGCTAAAATCATGAATCATACCCAATTCAAGCCTAATGAACTTTGTAATTTCAAGTTTCCACAAACGACGCCGGAACCTATCAAATCAAGTCCGATTAATCTCAAATTTTGCACACAAGTCATAAATGACATAGCAAATCTATTAAAATTTTCAGAATCAGATTTCGACCCCGATATCAAAAAGTCAACCCTCCTGTCAAACTTACCAAAAAAATCGACTTTCGCCATTTCAAGCCTAATTCCACTACGGACTTCCAAATAATTTTCTGGACACGCTCCTAAGTCCAAAATTACCATACGTAACTATTGAAATCATCATAATTAAATTCCGAGGTCGTTTACACATAAGTTAATATCCAGTTAACTTTTCCAACTTAAGTTTTTAATTATGAGACTAAGTGTCTCATTTCACTCCGAAATCCTTCCAGACCCGAACCAACTAACCCGGTAAGTCATAAAATAACTGTAAAGCTTAACTTGAGTAGTAAATGAGAGAACGAGGTTATAATACTCAAAATGACCGGCCGAGTCGTTACACCAAGTCAACATAAAGACCAATTAAAAGGGCGTAAATTGTCCAAATAAAAGGGGTAAGAACTAATTTCCTAGCTACTTCCTATTGCGATAGTCAACTAATTGCAATGTGCATTGACTCAAAGAAAAAGCAGTGGTATACTAGAGACCAGAGAGCAAGTCGTCGCACTTAATTTCCTCTAATTTGTTTATCATCCAATCCCTTTTCTTATTATCATCTTTTGAATTGAATGTCTCCTTTTCTGATGAAAAAAATATTATCTTTGTTCCTCTTTAGCTCAAAGCAGTACTACAGCCAAGCAAGAAGTTGACTAACAATAACTGAATCCATTCTAGCAATTCAACCAACCACAAGAACAACTTTCTGATCTGTTTCTTACTCTAAGGTAAAAGCTCTTTTTTGAGATCTAAAGTCTTACTTGGATTCATCTTGCATTTCTTCATTCATCGACTTAGGTATTCATTGAATATACCCTTTTTGTTCATATTTATTTTCACCCTTTTTACTAACAAATTGATTAGTTATTCTCATCATACAGATTTGCAATATCTAAAGGAAAACCCTCTTTCTTTCTCTCTTCCTGATCAGCAGATTTAAAGGGATTAGATGAAGTCCCCCCCCCCCCCC